ATGAGATTGGTAGAGAGACAGACTTGCATTCACTGGAGGCGTGTGAAAACCACCTGTAAAGGGAAAGCGACCACAGTTGGTAATATCCTTAGCAATTCAACAGAACACAACCACCCGTACAAAGAAGACCTTGAAGTGTGCAAGTGTGCAAGTGTGCAAGTGTGCAAGTGGACAAGAAGAGCTGCTGGACTGCCTCTGATTCCACAAGCAGTTATTCAAGACACCTGGATCTAAGCCATGGATGACCAAGATGTTCCAAGAGCTGTTGACTATGTGGTTGTCAATTGAGTTGACGACGGAACTCGACCCCGCTGCCATTGTGGAACCATCATTCAACGATAGGTCAGAGAACAAACAACAATCTGGAAGGAAGGACTACCTCATCGACATCCCAACATCTACCTTCATTGAAGTCACCAATAAGGCAGAACATGCAGATCGGGCCAAGATTTCGCAGATCGACTTTGGTGCTGCCCCCAGGCGTAGAAAACGATTCTACCCAGAGGTAGACACTCGCTTGTGCCTTGCCGAGTCAGCGACCTCACACAGGGCGACACCTGTATGTATCCTGTGTCTACATGGTCTGCCTTGCCGAGTCAGCGACCTCACATAGGTTGGCACCTGTATGTATCCTGTGTCTACATGGTCTGCCTTGCCGAGTCAGCGACCTCACACAGGGCGACACCTGTATGTATCCTGTCAGCGACCTCACACAGGGCGACACCTGTATGTATCCTGTGTCTACATGGTCTGCCTTGCCGAGTCAGCGACCTCACACAGGGCGACACCTGTATGTATCCTGTGTCTACATGGTCTGCCTTGCCGAGTCAGCGACCTCACACAGGGCGACACCTGTATGTATCCTGTGTCTACATGGTCTGCCTTGCCGAGTCAGCGACCTCACATAGGTTGGCACCTGTATGTATCCTGTGTCTACATGGTCTGCCTTGCCGAGTCAGCGACCTCACACAGGGCGACACCTGTATGTATCCTGTCAGCGACCTCACACAGGGCGACACCTGTATGTATCCTGTGTCTACATGGTCTGCCTTGCCGAGTCAGCGACCTCACACAGGTTGGCACCTGTATGTATCCTGTCAGCGACCTCACACAGGGCGACACCTGTATGTATCCTGTGTCTACATGGTCTGCCTTGCCGAGTCAGCGACCTCACACAGGGCGACACCTGTATGTATCCTGTGTCTACATGGTCTGCCTTGCCGAGTCAGCGACCTCACACAGGTTGACACCTGTATGTATCCTGTCAGCGACCTCACACAGGGCGACACCTGTATGTATCCTGTGTCTACATGGTCTGCCTTGCCGAGTCAGCGACCTCACACAGGTTGACACCTGTATGTATCCTGTCAGCGACCTCACACAGGGCGACACCTGTATGTATCCTGTCAGCGACCTCACATCGGGCGACACCTGTATGTATCCTGTGTCTACATGGTCTGCCTTGCCGATTCAGCGACCTCACACAGGGCGACACCTGTATGTATCCTGGGTCTACATGGTCTGCCTTGCCGAGTCAGCGACCTCACACAGGGCGACACCTGTATGTATCCTGTGTCTACATGGTCTGCCTTGCCGAGTCAGCGACCTCACAAAGGGCGACATCTGTATGTATCCTGTCAGCGACCTCACAAAGGGCGACATCTGTATGTATCCTGTGTCTACATGGTCTGCCTTACCGAGTCAGCGACCTCACACAGGACGACACCTGTATGTATCGTGCGTCAACATGGGCTGCCTTGCTGGGCCATTGACCACAACTAGGGTGACACCTGTATGTATCCTGTGTCTACATGGTCTGCCGTGCTGGGTCAGCGACCTCACATAGGTTGACACCTCTATGTATCGTGCGTCAACATGGGCTGCCTTGCTGGGCCATTGACCACAACTAGGGTGACACCTGTATGTATCCTGTGTCTACATGGTCTGCCTTGCTGGGTCAGCGACCTCACATAGGTTGACACCTCTACGTATCGTGCGTCAACATGGGCTGCCTTGCTGGGCCATTGACCTCACCTAGGGTAGCACGTAACACATGCATATTGCTCGTGTCCTCTGTCCCAACCTAATCTGAAGAAAGGTTTCCGCATGTATGACTAGTGTATACCTCCCTTCTGGTCATACCGTTAAGAGCAAACGATGTTCTTTGGTGGAAATAGCCGTTTTGCTGAAACGTAGTTCCACAGGTATTTCAACTTCACCATGAAATATTCACCGGGGACGGGGATGGGCCTGGGAGACGACTTACTTGAGCACAATAATGCACACACACACCACACACGCACGCACACGCACTCACGCGCACACACATACACATAAATAAACGTGAGGAAGACACTTAACTGTCGTTTTGATATCATTTAGCTCGTCCGTGTCTTCCAAATATGTCCTTGTCCCCAAACTCGTCTGTCATAAAGACACTGAAACAAATATATCCAATACAGCCCATGCAAGTCTATAGTATTTGACAGTGTAGATTACTGCAGTACATCTGATCTGAAAATGAAGAAAGTATCTGTGCTCCTGTTTATCAAATTTTATAACTATACTTTAACAACCTATTTTCCGTAAAAAAGTTCATTTCAGAGACTGGATGTTAGTATTTCCCCAAACCTGAGAGCGAGTCTCACTCAAATATCTCAAAATTCTCATTCTCATGGGAATGGCGGATCTAGGGAAGACGGGATGAATGGGAATGGCTGGTCCAGGGAAGACGGGGTGAATGGGAATGGCGGATCCAGGGAAGACGGGATGAATGGGAATGGCGGATCCAGGGAAGACGGGATTAATAGGAATGGCGGATCCAGGGAAGACGGGATGAATGGGAATGGTGGATCCAGGGAAGAAGGGATGAATGGGAATGGTGGATCCAGGGAAGACGGGATGAATGGGAATGGCGGATCCAGGGAAGACGGGATAATTAGGAATGGCGGATCCAGAGAAGACGGGATGAATGGGAATGGCGGATCCAGAGAAGACGGGATGAATGGGAATGGCGGATCCAGGGAAGACGGGATGAATGGGAATGGCGGATCCAGGGAAGACGGGATTAATAGGAATGGCGAATCCAGGGAAGACGGGATTAATGGGAACGTCTGATTCGTGAACCGTTGATGAAGTGCGAGGGCTGAGACGTTTTTTACTTGCAACGCCCTTATCCATACCAGCAGTGTGTAGTAAAATACGTGGAGTGAACCCTCACCGCTGCCCTTACACTATATAGACCTGGCCCCATGTGGCTTCAGGGTTAGAATTGTTCCCTGCAACCTACGTAGGCCGACCAAATGTACTCTTTAAAAAGGTAGGGGGTCATGAAATATAAATGTTAATACCAAGTATTTGAACAAAGATCAGTGCTGACGACAAACATCGTATGCAAGAACGTTTAAAAATGTCTGTAAAACTTAACACTGAATCACGTCCTACAGTTAGCACATGCTGAGAGCAGTAGCGCCACATACGTGTGAAGGGGGCCATCCTGATTTTGATACTTTCGGGGAAGGTCAATTAATCTCTGTGGACAATTATTCTGACATCTGGTTGTTTCTGCTTATCATACAGATGTGATTTACTTGATTTCATTTATTGTTTTTGCATGAACTGGTGATGCGGCGTCTGCAATGCGCGGAGCGTCTACGGGCAATTGTCATGCTGGAAACTGGCAGAAGTCAAAACGTTCAATGTTTGAGTCTGTGATTAGCTGACTATGGTACCAAGAAGGGCGTCCTAGGTCAACAACTAGAGTACAGGGTCGGTGGATCCGAAACCAGGCTCTACGAAACGGAGCTCGAACGGCGAATTGCTGCAAACTTTTATCTGGCTACTGGAGAACGAGTTACGAGTCAGACGGTTAGAAATCTTCTACATGCAGCTCATCGCCATGCTCAACGGCCACGTGTTGTGTCACACCTTACAGATCGTCATTACCATGCAGACGTCAAACTGGGGTAATTGTCGCTGGTCACGTGTCAGGATTCCAAATGATTCCGATTCACTTTGCATTTCCTTGACAGATGTGGTCGTGTCTGGCGACGTCTGGCAGCTGATCACGTTGGCTGAGCTTGGCCAGGCGCTGAAAGAGGAGTAGGTCACACTCCCTCAAATCGCCATTGGGAGAGTCTTCCGGGGTATGTCTCGTCGAGTGAATGAATGTTTGACAAATAGCGGCGGTATTACCCACTACTGATAAAAGAAACGTCAATTTTCCCATCTTACCCCTATCGGCCTTCAAGATTGTTGGCGGTCATAACATCAACTCCCACACTTCACTACTAGTAATGTGTTCCCAATTCGTTCATTACTATCATGCAACTATTAAATTTTAAAGTTATTTCTCATTTTATCAAGAGCAGCTCGGTAGCCTGTTCAGTTCCATGTCAGTACAGAGTTGCGTCCCCTGTTAAGGACTGTATCTGGGTTCGGATCCGAGATTCAAAGTCATTATGACCCATAGTCTGTCAGTACCATATCACCATAGTGATCGTCTCAGACTTCCGGCTATGTTCCCACAGCCCACCCCAACGTATATAGCGTGAAACCCAACTCACCCACTCATCAATGTTGAGTGGTATATGGTTGTTGTTTAACGCCGCACTCAGCAATATGCCACCTATATGGAGGCGGCCTATCAATAATCGAGTCTGAACCAAACAAACATGTGATCGATATTATGAGCAACGACCCACGCCGCCGGTGTACGATGACACGCGTTCAACCAAGTCACTGAGTCTGACCACAAATCCATTTGGTCGCTACCCACGACCAGCAGGTGGTTGTGGCCACTCTAACCTGGAATCCCTACGGTGGAGTAGTAACCTATACATGTGACGTTAAGACGAACCTGTCACTGATACAACACCAGCGGTATCTGCATGCTGTGAGCAGGGTATATACACTAAAGCTACTACATATAGACAATGAGAGTAAATTGACAACAGAGAATGGCGTGTGTATTTATAACTCAAGCCAACTGGTTCTCTTACCGCAGTGTGGAATATTCCTAGAGGTGAACTCCGAAGTGACTTGTCAGCATGTAAATGGTATGAGATGTGTTTTCCAGAAATCGTGTTCTTATGAAACATTTACATTTTCTTCCGGTGTTGTTTGCGTATGAACAGTGAGATCAGAAGTGCCGACAGAGGTCAAACTCTGCTCACTCCTTGGAAATTGATGAGGTTCCAGTATGGCGCATAGGATCGCCGCTGCACTGTTGGGAGCTTGGTGTTGTACAACAGAGTTGAGAGATTGCATGCATCTGGCCAAGTTCCAAACAGAGACCCTGTACTTTTGTACATAAACATAAAGTCAGAAGATGGGTTGCTTGCTCGTTTTTTCGACAGTGTGGGAAAGTCACTAAGACTGCCCCGATGCGACCCATTATCTCGATTGCCAGATACTTTGTTTTTATCTGGCAACGAACTTTGCAGATCCCATGTCATGCATTCTGGTTGTGTCTCGAGACAACATGTCCTAAGTATTCCAAATTGTTTTACAATCAGTTATGATGTAAGCCTCTCGTTTCGGGACATTTAATGTAAAGGGTATGCATATAGGAGTTGTTTCTGTATAGACAGTGAATCAAGGCGGGGACTTCAAGGGGGTGGAGCAGACCACTCTGGAAAGTTGTTAAGTCATTAAAGGAATCCACCTTGAAGCTAGATATCGCTAGACGCTGCATATCACTAGACGCTAGATATCGCCAGACGCTGCATATCACTGGACGCTGCATATCACAAGACGCTTGATATCGCCAGACGCTTGATATCGCTAGACGCTGCATATCACAAGACGCTTGATATCGCAATGCGGTGCATGTCACTAGACGCTAGATATCGCAGGAAGCTAGGGCTTGGACGAGTCCAAATTTACTACCCGGGCGCATGATCCCGTTTTACTCGGCTCTACCCGGGAAACCCACTGCAGGTCTCAAGAGTTGGGGACAAAATGTCTGATTGGGAATTGTTTTATGTATCAAACGATCAGTACACTAAAGTTGACTGAAGCTTATCTTCACTCAGACATGTACAAGTCAAAAGGAATGTGTGCATCGTCAGAAAGAAATGTGAACATTAGCGACTTGTGGTGTAACCACTGAGCGATAGTGAGTTTTTGTCATCAAACAATATTTCACGTGACTAGCCACCGGTCCGGGTAGTCCTGTGGGTACCCGGGTCCTACGCGGGACCCACCTGACCCGAGTACCCGAGTACCCGAGTTACCCGTCCCAGCCCTACTAGAAGCTATAGATATCAAGAGGCGCTGTATATCACAAGACGCTTGATATCGCTAGATGCTACATGTCCATCCGATTTTGACTGTTCCCGAATATATATGTTTGGGGAATATTTCATTATTTCTTTAAATTGATGTTGGACAAGGTTCTCGACAGTGCAGTGATTTTGCCTGATGTTTGGAGTGTTCGAACGATAATGTCCATACATAAATCTGTCGTCATGTCCAATCATAAAGATAAGTGAGCTATTTCGAGTTTACAGTTTACTGGCAGACTATTAAATTTATTTTGGTAATAGAAAGAAATATATTATTGATAACAGATGGGGCCTAAAAGATAAAATAAAGTATACGTCGCTATTACAGTATAACAAAGAAGATGTTATTCATTTATATTTGTCAACTTTATTTATAACTACACCTAATGGTTAGTTGTTTTAATATAATATAGTTAAAGAAAGAATAAGCCATTTCGTAGTGGTATGCAAACGCATGAACTTGTGGGTTAGTGACCCTGACTAAAGCTCCGTACACAGGCGAATGAGGAAGGCGCTGTGCCTAATCTGCCAGGCACGTTGAGTTCAGGTGAGCGTCTGCTCGAGGTCAAAGTACCCCAAACATGGCCACAGATTAGGAACCACAGAGACCAAGTAGCTGAAGTTATAGAAGTGAGAATATTCTAGGTGTTGTTGCTAATGCATACTGATGACATGAGATAACTAACTTGTAGTGGTAGACCAATGTGTCCCGCTTTTTATTTGATTTCTGTTTATGATGTTCAGACATTGGTTTCGAGGTTTATGGCCGTTCAGTATGAAAACTGAGTTCACGTGATCAAGCAGACTATTATTCCCATCCATTACACACTGAAAGTATCAAGACAGATTTATAACAAACTCACAGTTCATACTTCACAGAACTGCGACTGCCACACGATGTTGGGTAGTCCATGTTTTTTTATAGATGAATATTTGACTTAGTATCCTCGTGTCATGGAAGTTCGATCACTTACGAAAAGTCGCTGAATATTCATAGTAACATTCATATAATCTTTTTTTCAAATATCTTACCTGTGAACTTGTTTATTTATGACAAACATTTCCCAAATCCACGTATTTCCATTGAAATTTACACTCGCGGCATGGCCGCCCTCTCACTGTCAACAGAAGTGACCCAGAAAGCTACGTCACACAAGTTCGATCATTTGATTGGTTGGCTTGTCGCAAAACCGGGATGACATGTATGGACGATCTCTTGTGTCAAAATTCGAATTAGAACAGTCCGCAGTTGTTTTATTACATCTTTGTCCATCAACAAGTCAGAAGATGGGTTGCTTGCTCGTTTTTTCGACAGTGTGGGAAAGTCACTAAGACTGCCCCGATACGACCCATTATCTCGATTGCCAGATACTTTGTTTTTATAATATCTGGCAACGAACTTCGCAGATCCCATGTCATGCATTCTGGTTGTGTCTCGAGACAACATGTCCTAAGTATTCCAAATTGTTTTACAATCAGTTATGATGTAAGCCTCTCGTTTCGGGACATTTAATGTAAAGGGTATGCATATAGGAGTTGTTTCTGTATAGACAGTGAATCAAGGCGGGGACTTCAAGGGGGTGGAGCAGACCACTCTGGAAAGTTGTTAAGTCATTAAAGGAATCCACCTTGAAGCTAGATATCGCTAGACGCTGCATATCACTAGACGCTAGATATCGCCAGACGCTGCATATCACTGGACGCTGCATATCACAAGACGCTTGATATCGCCAGACGCTTGATATCGCTAGACACTGCATATCACAAGACGCTTGATATCGCAATGCGGTGCATGTCACTAGACGCTAGATATCGCAGGAAGCTAGGGCTTGGACGAGTCCAAATTTACTACCCGGGTGCATGATCCCGTTTTACTCGGCTCTACCCGGGAAACCCACTGCAGGTCTCAAGAGTTGGGGACAAAATGTCTGATTGGGAATTGTTTTATGTATCAAACGATCAGTACACTAAAGTTGACTGAAGCTTATCTTCACTCAGACATGTACAAGTCAAAAGGAATGTGTGCATCGTCAGAAAGAAATGTGAACATTAGCGACTTGTGGTGTAACCACTGAGCGATAGTGAGTTTTTGTCATCAAACAATATTTCACGTGACTAGCCACCGGTCCGGGTAGTCCTGTGGGTACCCGGGTCCTACGCGGGACCCACCTGACCCGAGTACCCGAGTACCCGAGTTACCCGTCCCAGCCCTACTAGAAGCTATAGATATCAAGAGGCGCTGTATATCACAAGACGCTTGATATCGCTAGATGCTACATGTCCATCCGATTTTGACTGTTCCCGAATATATATGTTTGGGGAATATTTCATTATTTCTTTAAATTGATGTTGGACAAGGTTCTCGACAGTGCAGTGATTTTGCCTGATGTTTGGAGTGTTCGAACGATAATGTCCATACATAAATCTGTCGTCATGTCCAATCATAAAGATAAGTGAGCTATTTCGAGTTTACAGTTTACTGGCAGACTATTAAATTTATTTTGGTAATAGAAAGAAATATATTATTGATAACAGATGGGGCCTAAAAGATAAAATAAAGTATACGTCGCTATTACAGTATAACAAAGAAGATGTTATTCATTTATATTTGTCAACTTTATTTATAACTACACCTAATGGTTAGTTGTTTTAATATAATATAGTTAAAGAAAGAATAAGCCATTTCGTAGTGGTATGCAAACGCATGAACTTGTGGGTTAGTGACCCTGACTAAAGCTCCGTACACAGGCGAATGAGGAAGGCGCTGTGCCTAATCTGCCAGGCACGTTGAGTTCAGGTGAGCGTCTGCTCGAGGTCAAAGTACCCCAAACATGGCCACAGATTAGGAACCACAGAGACCAAGTAGCTGAAGTTATAGAAGTGAGAATATTCTAGGTGTTGTTGCTAATGCATACTGATGACATGAGATAACTAACTTGTAGTGGTAGACCAATGTGTCCCGCTTTTTATTTGATTTCTGTTTATGATGTTCAGACATTGGTTTCGAGGTTTATGGCCGTTCAGTATGAAAACTGAGTTCACGTGATCAAGCAGACTATTATTCCCATCCATTACACACTGAAAGTATCAAGACAGATTTATAACAAACTCACAGTTCATACTTCACAGAACTGCGACTGCCACACGATGTTGGGTAGTCCATGTTTTTTTATAGATGAATATTTGACTTAGTATCCTCGTGTCATGGAAGTTCGATCACTTACGAAAAGTCGCTGAATATTCATAGTAACATTCATATAATCTTTTTTTCAAATATCTTACCTGTGAACTTGTTTATTTATGACAAACATTTCCCAAATCCACATATTTCCATTGAAATTTACACTCGCGGCATGGCCGCCCTCTCACTGTCAACAGAAGTGACCCAGAAAGCTACGTCACACAAGTTCGATCATTTGATTGGTTGGCTTGTCGCAAAACCGGGATGACATGTATGGACGATCTCTTGTGTCAAAATTCGAATTAGAACAGTCCGCAGTTGTTTTATTACATCTTTGTCCATCAACAAGTCAGAAGATGGGTTGCTTGCTCGTTTTTTCGACAGTGTGGGAAAGTCACTAAGACTGCCCCGATGCGACCCATTATCTCGATTGCCAGATACTTTGTTTTTATCTGGCAACGAACTTTGCAGATCCCATGTCATGCATTCTGGTTGTGTCTCGAGACAACATGTCCTAAGTATTCCAAATTGTTTTACAATCAGTTATGATGTAAGCCTCTCGTTTCGGGACATTTAATGTAAAGGGTATGCATATAGGAGTTGTTTCTGTATAGACAGTGAATCAAGGCGGGGACTTCAAGGGGGTGGAGCAGACCACTCTGGAAAGTTGTTAAGTCATTAAAGGAATCCACCTTGAAGCTAGATATCGCTAGACGCTGCATATCACTAGACGCTAGATATCGCCAGACGCTGCATATCACTGGACGCTGCATATCACAAGACGCTTGATATCGCCAGACGCTTGATATCGCTAGACGCTGCATATCACAAGACGCTTGATATCGCAATGCGGTGCATGTCACTAGACGCTAGATATCGCAGGAAGCTAGGGCTTGGACGAGTCCAAATTTACTACCCGGGTGCATGATCCCGTTTTACTCGGCTCTACCCGGGAAACCCACTGCAGGTCTCAAGAGTTGGGGACAAAATGTCTGATTGGGAATTGTTTTATGTATCAAACGATCAGTACACTAAAGTTGACTGAAGCTTATCTTCACTCAGACATGTACAAGTCAAAAGGAATGTGTGCATCGTCAGAAAGAAATGTGAACATTAGCGACTTGTGGTGTAACCACTGAGCGATAGTGAGTTTTTGTCATCAAACAATATTTCACGTGACTAGCCACCGGTCCGGGTAGTCCTGTGGGTACCCGGGTCCTACGCGGGACCCACCTGACCCGAGTACCCGAGTTACCCGTCCCAGCCCTACTAGAAGCTATAGATATCAAGAGGCGCTGTATATCACAAGACGCTTGATATCGCTAGATGCTACATGTCCATCCGATTTTGACTGTTCCCGAATATATATGTTTGGGGAATATTTCATTATTTCTTTAAATTGATGTTGGACAAGGTTCTCGACAGTGCAGTGATTTTGCCTGATGTTTGGAGTGTTCGAACGATAATGTCCATACATAAATCTGTCGTCATGTCCAATCATAAAGATAAGTGAGCTATTTCGAGTTTACAGTTTACTGGCAGACTATTAAATTTATTTTGGTAATAGAAAGAAATATATTATTGATAACAGATGGGGCCTAAAAGATAAAATAAAGTATACGTCGCTATTACAGTATAACAAAGAAGATGTTATTCATTTATATTTGTCAACTTTATTTATAACTACACCTAATGGTTAGTTGTTTTAATATAATATAGTTAAAGAAAGAATAAGCCATTTCGTAGTGGTATGCAAACGCATGAACTTGTGGGTTAGTGACCCTGACTAAAGCTCCGTACACAGGCGAATGAGGAAGGCGCTGTGCCTAATCTGCCAGGCACGTTGAGTTCAGGTGAGCGTCTGCTCGAGGTCAAAGTACCCCAAACATGGCCACAGATTAGGAACCACAGAGACCAAGTAGCTGAAGTTATAGAAGTGAGAATATTCTAGGTGTTGTTGCTAATGCATACTGATGACATGAGATAACTAACTTGTAGTGGTAGACCAATGTGTCCCGCTTTTTATTTGATTTCTGTTTATGATGTTCAGACATTGGTTTCGAGGTTTATGGCCGTTCAGTATGAAAACTGAGTTCACGTGATCAAGCAGACTATTATTCCCATCCATTACACACTGAAAGTATCAAGACAGATTTATAACAAACTCACAGTTCATATTTCACAGAACTGCGACTGCCACACGATGTTGGGTAGTCCATGTTTTTTTATAGATGAATATTTGACTTAGTATCCTCGTGTCATGGAAGTTCGATCACTTACGAAAAGTCGCTGAATATTCATAGTAACATTCATATAATCTTTTTTTCAAATATCTTACCTGTGAACTTGTTTATTTATGACAAACATTTCCCAAATCCACGTATTTCCATTGAAATTTACACTCGCGGCATGGCCGCCCTCTCACTGTCAACAGAAGTGACCCAGAAAGCTACGTCACACAAGTTCGATCATTTGATTGGTTGGCTTGTCGCAAAACCGGGATGACATGTATGGACGATCTCTTGTGTCAAAATTCGAATTAGAACAGTCCGCAGTTGTTTTATTACATCTTTGTCCATCAAACGTTCATTTTATGTTTTAATATTGAAAAAAAAAACGATGAAAAGTCACAAATATCCAGATTATTTACAAGGTTGATGCAGGGAGTTATTCTTCAGGCTCATCGTGACAGGGGCACCAAAACTCAGAATGTCGACGCACAACACGAACTGGCTTGCAGAAACGTAAATGTGTCCAGTGCTGACATGTAGGGTAGGTACATTGTGCCCAGGTTGTTATGATCAGGGAGACATTAGCTCGAACCTCATCAGGTACAAATTTGCTACATTTGCAACACAGTTCGTCATCACTTGTCACATCACTATCAAAACTATCGTCCTGATGCGCGTTGGACCGTGAAGTTCCAGTACTTGCATTCGTTGCAGTGACAGTATTTTTTTTTTTTAAAGATTTACTTGGTTTAGGTGCTTGCTTTCTTTTTTTGGGTGCCGATTTCACAGTCTGGTGAGAAATAATTTTATTCAGAATGACGTCTTCGGTGATGGCCTTGCCCCCGACAACAGCGCTCAGAACGTTTCTCTTTTTAGTAGGCACAGCTTTCTTGAAAAGTACAGTCGTCTTGTCTTTAAAGAATCCTGCTACATCATTGCCCTCAGTAGGTGAAGTGACAACCTTGTCTCCAACTGGCACACATGAATCAATAACACCAGTATCAGGATGCAGCAAAGGTTCAGTCGACTTAAAAACTGTTGATGGCGCAAAGTTGATATTGGCGGTGGAAGACTTGTCAAATGGATAGACTCCACATTTCCTGAAAGAGGATTGCAGATTTGTTGGTGTCAGCGACAGGTTATAAGCTCTACAGCCAAGTTCACAAACAGAATGTTTATCAACTGAACTTGTGGCATTTTCCCGCATATACGTATGACGGAGGTTGTTGTAAATTTTAGCAAAAGGTCCAAAGCAACCAACATCCATTGGCTGTAAAACATGGGACGTGTGTGCAGGCAGTACAAACAAAATAATGTGATGTTGACGTGCCCATTCGATGAGTGGAATAGATACGTGGGATCTATGACCATCATACACAATAAGAAGTGGACTATCTGCAGACGCGGCGACAGCATGCTTCAGGAAATGCTCTGTCAGATAGTGCTGAAAAATCTCCGTGTTTGACCAGCCAGAGTCGCTTACAGTGCCTGCTGCTCCAGGGGTACTTCCTGAAAGGAGTTCTTCCCGCATCCTCTTGCCCTTGAATACAAAATACGGTGGTATAGAACTACCAGACGCATTGCCGCAACCTATAACCGTTGTAGTACTTGATCTTGATGTTGTGACTGCAGCTGGAGTACTCTGACTCGATGTAACAACTGATGGTGGGGTATGATGCTCCATAAGTCCCTTTTCGTCAACATTATAAATGCGATGAGGGCATGTCTTCAGGTTGTACTTATCCATGATGTGCCCAAGCTCATTAAAATAATGAGTGATCGTCTCCTCTGAGGTAGCTTTTGCTCTCTGTATCTCAAGGGATCGTGGCTTCTTCACTGACAGATCAGGCCATCGCTTCATAAACCCATAGAACCACTGAAGTGATAGGGGTTGTTCATCCTTTGACTTCTTTCCAACATATATTGCTAGGTCTGTGGCAATAGTAGTAACTTCAGCCCTTGTATAGCCATACCCAAAATTTGCCATGGCTTCAATATGTGAAACAAGTCCCTGTTCTTCTTCCATGGACAATAGTGGTTCTCTACCAGTGGTACTACATTCAATAGAAACCTTCCCACTCACCCTGTCATGCAGTGTAGCAAATGGAACAGCAAAGGTAGTGGCAGCTTTCCTAATTGCCATTCCATCTAAAACAGCATTATATGCCTTGTCTAGGGCTGCAGACAAATATTGCCTATATTGACCTCTTCTGGTTGGTTCACCATTGGTCAAAACCTGTAAAAATAAAGGTTTATTTTATATATCACCAAAACTCCAGAGACAGAAGTTCTCAAAAAGCATAACATTTTCAATAAGAAATTACCCTAATTTGTTTCCATAGTTTTAAATTTTGGCGAGCACATCACGTGTCTCATCACGTGACATTTACACCATGAACGTAAACAAGCAGACGACAGGTGTGCCGTCGATTTACAATGTGTGCATTTATTACAATTGACATTTTATTTGAGCTGATCAAGTTACATTAGTGATCTCGGGTTAAAAAGTAGTTGTTTGCTGAATATGAGCTATTACTTACGTTTGGTAACTTCACACGAAGCATTTTCCGGTCCAAGCGAACGAAAGCGGTGTTGTCAGAAGATCAAAGCTGCAGGTACCGTAATTTCTCGTTACATTTCGCGAGAAATATCATTCAAAATGGCCGATCGAAGTTACATGTCGATCGAACTTGTGTGACTTGACGATATTTAAAGGATTTCCATGCTGAAGTTATAGAGCGAGGATCTTGGAGAAATGAACAATTATTTGGGTTGACACAATCCTAAAATAAGTTTCGTTCTCAGAAACACTGTGCTGCCTAGAGCTGGGTCGAGTTCAAATTTACTTATGTCCCCAACTGTGTTGGTCATGGCTTGTGCTATCAACTACTAGCAGGTCTCATTAAGACTCTTACAAAACAACTGAAAGAGACATGACACAGCATTGGCTCTTTTCTGTCAGGCATGAAACAGCCCTCACTCATTGCTGACGAGCATGAAACAGCTTTCACTCATTGCTGACAAGCATGAAACAGCATTCACTCATTGCTGACGAGCATGAAACAGCTTTCACTCATTGCTGACAGGGGCATAAAACAGCATTCACTCACTGCTGACAGGGACATGAAACAGCCTTCACTCACTGCTGACTGGGACATGAAACAGCATTCACTCACTGCTGACAGGGACATGAAACAACATTCACTCATTGCTGACGGGGACATGAAACAGCATTCACTCACTGCTGACTGGGACATGAAACAACATTCACTCACTGTTGATAGGGACATGAAACAACATTCACTCATTGCTGACAGGCATAAAACAGCATTCACTCACTGCTGACAGGGACATAAAACAGCCTTCACTCACTGCTGACAGGGACATGAAACAGCCTTCACTCACTGCTGACGGGCATAAAACAGCATTCACTCATTGCTGACAGGGACATGAAACAGCCTTCACTCACTGCTGACGGGCATAAAACAACATTCACTCATTGCTGACAGGGACATGAAACAGCATTCACTCACTGCTGACTGGGACATGAAACAACATTCACTCACTGTTGATAGGGACATGAAACAACATTCACTCATTGCTGACGGGGACATGAAACAACATTCACTCATTGCTGACAGGGACATGAAACAGCCTTCACTCACTGCTGACGGGCATAAAACAGCATTCACTCACTGTTGATAGGGACATGAAACAACATTCACTCATTGCTGACAGACATAAAACAGCATTCACTCACTGCTGACAGGGACATAAAACAGCCTTCACTCACTGCTGACAGGGACATGAAACAGCCTTCACTCACTGCTGACGGGCATAAAACAGCATTCACTCATTGCTGACGGGCATAAAACAGCATTCACTCATTGCTGATAGGCATTAAACAGCATTCACTCACTGTTGATAGGGACATTAAACAACATTCACTCATTGCTGACGGGCATAAAACAGCATTCACTCACTGCTGACAGGGACATGAAACAACATTCACTCACTGCTGACTGGGGTATGAAACAACATTCACTCACTGCTGACTTGGACATGAAACAACATTCACTCACTGCTGACTGGGGTATGAAACAACATTCACTCATTGCTGACTGGGGTATGAAACAACATTCACTCATTGCTGACTGGGACATGAAACAGCCTTCACTCATTGCTGACGGGGACATGAAACAACGTTCACTCATTGCTGACGGGCATAAAACAGCCTTCACTCACTGCTGACAGGGACATGAAACAGCCTTCACTCATTGCTGACTGGGGTATGAAACAACATTCACTCACTGCTCACTGGGACATGAAACAACATTCACTCATTGCTGACTGGGGTATGAAACAACATTCACTCATTGCTGACTGGGGTATGAAACAACATTCACTCATTGCTGACTGGGACATGAAACAGCCTTCACTCATTGCTGACTGGGGTATGAAACAACATTCACTCATTGCTGACGGGCATAAAACAGCCTTCACTCATTGCTGACGGGGACATGAAACAACGTTCACTCATTGCTGACGGGCATAAAACAGCCTTCACTCACTGCTGACAGGGACATAAAACAGCCTTCACTCACTGCTGACGGGCATAAAACAGCCTTCACTCACTGCTGACAGGGACATAAAACAGCCTTCACTCACTGCTGACAGGGACATAAAACAACGTTCACTCACTGCT